TTTGCTGCGACGGCGATAAAGAAGAGTGCGTAATAAGGCCTCCTAGGATGGATGGCCTTTTTTGGTTTATCAGCAAACTCGTTTATGGGCTCACAACAACGGTGATGAGCTCACGCTGGTAAAGAAAGGAGAGCGCATTTACTGAAGAACTGAAAAGCACAAATCAAATGAGGTGAATTAGCTAAAATAGGATACTGATAACAGGGAGCTTCCTAAAGAAGACAGTCTCCGCAAGCTTTTTTAACTCATTGCAAAAAATTCGGAGTCCGGCCAGCTGCATGATGAAGTCCGAAAGTTTTTAGAGGAGTACCTGTTGCATTTGCAATGGCAGATAAAGAGCTAATGCAGACGGATCTACTGAAGATTGCCATTGATATTGAAAACAGTGTTCCAGTTTAGATGAAAGCAAGACCATCCCATTGGGGGTCAAGCAGAAATTTTTTAAAAAATTGTTAGCGAGCCTATTACGAAAAAACATGATATAGAAAAACAACTTTGATCGGGTTCTTCCCATCGTGTTGGTAGAGAAAAAGGACAGATCAGTAAAACTTTGTGTGGACTATCGAGAACTGATAAAAGATTAAGCTCGACGCATATCCCCTACCAGGCATAGAAGCTCTTTTGCAAAAATTTAGGAGGAAAGCGGTTTTTCACGATTAGATCTGTGACCTTTATATATTAGTCCAACTGTTTTTCAAAGATTGACGGACACGGCACTAGGTGATCTTCTTAGTAGTGAGGTGTTCTGTTATATAGATGACGTCATGATGTGCGCCAAAACTAAAGAAAGGCACTTAGAGCTTCTGAAACAAGTTCATGATCGCATAAGGAGCGAACGGAGTATACTGCACTCAAAAATGCGAAGAAGTTGCGAATATTTCTGGGCATGGCTTCGAACTATAGCAAATTTTGTCGGGTTCTCATTTAGCGTGTTTTTTTGGAATGACATCACTAAAGGCAAAGGCTTTGGGACAAAGAGCATAATAAGGAAGAAATATGAAAAGAATGATATCCACAGCTTTAGTTTTGTCGCAGCTTGTGTAGATAAGGCAAGGGACAGTAGTAAGCCATTTGTAATTCGTACAGATGCTTCCACGTACGAATCAAGTGCTGTTTTGTTACGAGATGGAGAGGACAAACAGTTGCATCCTATCCCTTCATAAAGTTTGAAGAGCGCAGATATCACATTACGGATTTGGAAGCGTGGGCGATAGTGTACGCAGTCAGCAAATTCCATATGTTTTTATATTTCTTAGTGATTATGGGCCACCAACGTTAACAGTACTTTCCAAGCACATGTGTCAGCGCGCGTATTGAGATGGTTACTGGAGTTAATATAACTTGGAAATACAATATATAAAAGGAAAGGCTAACGTGGTTGCTGACGCATAAAGCCGAAGAGTACTGATGCCATATACGCTGGGGTCGCTAGAAGAGGTAGGGGAACGTAGCTGTAAACGCTATTGCAGCTGTCGACGAAACTAAGTGGATGAAAGAGTTAAAGAGGGATCCCCATTAGAAGCAGCTCATCCGAGAGAAATTGGCACTTGGCATGAGTTGGTAAGGCAGGCGAGGAAAGACGACTTCTAAGAGTAGCGTAATTTGCGATAGTCGAAGGCGACTTGAAGATACATCAGGAGAATAGAAACAC